ACTTTCTAGTCAAAATAGAATATGTCAAAATAGCAGAGGTACTTTTTGAAACAAGGCCAATTAAGATCCAAGGGACTTTATTCATTTAGAGAGGGAAATTAACATACTATAAATGTCAGCTATTTAAATGTACATTTTGTGATTTTTAGTATATTCATAAAGCTCTGCGACCAACATCACTACCTATTCCAGGACCGTTTCATCAACCCCTAAAGAAGACAGGTACCCATGAGCCATCAACCCTATTATCTCTAATACCTCCAGCCCTGGCAACCAATAATCTCAGTTCTGGCTCTATGAATTTGCTAGTTTGTACATTTCCTATACATGGAATCATGAAATGTATAATACCTGTGACTGGCTTCTGTCACATAGCACAATGTTTTCATGATTCATCCATGTTGTAGAAAGAAATGACTACTTCATTCTTTTATATGGCTCAACACTCCCCCATTGCATGGCTATAACACTTTGTTTATCTAATAATCAATGAACATATGTGTTGTTTCCTCTGTTTAGCAATTAGGAATAAAGGTACCATGAATATCTATGTATAGTTGCTGGTGTAGACAGATGTTTTAGGTTGTCTTGGATATACACTAGGCAGTGAAATTGCTGGTTCATATGGTAATTCTATTTAAATTTTTGAGACATTTAAATAATTTTAATAATTTAAAAATTCTACTGTTTCATTATTTCTCTCAAGTTTGAGGTCTCTCCTGTTTCATAAGGTGCTACTTCAAGAGTCAAAACACAAATTTCAGAGCAACAATGGGCCAGTCAAATCCCCAGAAACACTTAAAATGCTCTTATTGGAGCCCAAACGAATGTCAGCACCTCAGAGTTTCAGGGTGTGGCTCAGAAAACTGAGTTTTTAACAAGTTCTCTGGTGAAATCCACCCTCCACTGAGAGTACAGAATTTTGACCCGGGTCATAATACATTCACAAGGGCTCCCGCCCACACCCAGACTTCCTGGGCTCGGGCTGAGGTTGCACCTAAAGCAGAACCTATGTGCCCCTTCCCCCGGCGCCGCGGAGAAGAAAATGCCACTCAGCCTTCTCAGCGTGAGCTCAGGCTGAGACTTAGGTTGTCTAGGTCTTCCGGACCGCCTGCCTGCAGGAGGACCCAGTGGGAGGGCTATGATGGCTAGCCACGCGCCCACAGTGACTCCGGGGCATCGGAAGGTGCGGATGCAGAGACAACCGGAAACAGGGCTTGCTTCGACACTCGGGCTTCCACGGGTTGCCTCCAGCACTGAACTTGTGGCAGCCAGGGGTGGGGGGACCTGCGCCGAGTTTCTCCACGGGCGCGGGAAAGAAAACAGCAGCGGGTACCGGGCGAATAACTCCGTGGGCACAGAAATGGAAGGAGCAGGGGACACCGGGCCCCCGTCCTTCCACGGACGTGGGAACAGAAAGAGCAGGGGCACCGGGCCCGGGTAATTCCACGGCAGGGGAATGGAAGGAGCAATGAGAATTGGGTATGTCCTTCCTAAGAGGAGGGAATGGCAGGAACCGCGGACACCGGGACCAGAACTCCATGGGCGGGCAAATGGAAGAAGCCCTCTGTCCCTTCCACTGGCGCAGGAATGGTAGCAGCGGTGGGCTCTGGTCCCTTTTCCCCCACGGGTGGGGGAATGGAAGGAGCGACCCCGTCTCTCACAACCAGAAGCCACCGCAACCGGGCAGCTCCAGCCCTGACGCGCTCGGTTCCAGCAGGAGTAGGAGAGACAGGTGATGCGCCCCTGTCCTCCTTTGGGCGTGGGAGAGAGAAGAATGACGGGTTTCAGGACTCTGTCTCGCCCGGGTTAGAAAAAAAGAGAGGAAAAAAAAGGAAAACTATGTGTCTAAAGTCCATCAGTGATAACTCTCTGTGACAGAGATGAATGAAAATACTTTAATAGTTCAAACAATAATAATACTGAAAGCTCTCTATGAAAGATTAAATGTAAAAAGAAAAATGTGTACATAGTTGCAAAAAAAAAATGGAGTTTTTAGGGAGAGGGGAAAAAATGGTGTGGACGATAGAGGCTCTGTTTCTTCCTCTGGCAACCAAAGTTGTGATGGAAACGAGCAGCAGCAAGGAAAAATCGCCTGGGATCTAGATGAATAAGCCATACAACTACAGAGAAATACAAGAAATCACCCTGCAATGGCAGAAGGTAGGCAGAAGGTAGGCAGAAGGTAGGCAGAAGGTAGGACAGGATGAAGATGCAGGGCTGCCTGGTCCCCAGGGGCAGACGCCTCTTAAAGGAGCCACCTCTGCAATGGGATTTTTCCTGGTGATGGACCTGCTCACTCTGAGCACCAGTGCCCAATCAACTGTGCACGGGGTGCATCATGGACTTACAGGGAGACATTGCCCAAGTAAGGGCCCAGGCAAGACTTACTTGGTACAGAAGTGCCAGCGGCATCCATTGTTCCCTGTTGAGCCCTCCCCTCTCCCAGTGCAATGAACACAGCGCCACCATACCTAGGACATCATCAAACTGGATAACAGAGGTGGCTCTGCCCAGAGGATTCCCTGAAATCCCGCCTACTCCAACTTGGGCCCTACCCAAGCCACATCCATGTATATACTCAGCAAGTCAGGTGCTTCTTGCTGAGACTCACACTGGAGGAGGTAGCTGGCCTCAGTTTCTGGTGTGGTCTTTTGAGGCAACTATAAGCACAACATCTGTAGATTGCTTGCTGAATCTTAACAGGTGGCCCCAATGGGG